ACTCTGCCTCTTCAAGTAATCATTTTAATGACATTTAAGAAAAATTGTATTGAAATAAACAAACATGGAGGCTGCTCCTGAATGCCTAATATGTAGACATGTTCTAGGGGTTAGTAACTCAAGTATTGAAGGGGAACTATACTCACCTTGGATCCAGGGATGCAGTGTCCCAGAATTCCCTGGCACCCGCTGACATCTTCAGGTGCCCGGCTTCCAGGTCTTAATTGCTAACTGGCTTGATGCCGCTATCACATATGCACAAGAGTGCAGTTAGCTCACTGTAGGGGGGGGGGGGGGGGGTCACCGTGTGCGGCTCACCGTACAGGGGGTCAGCACGCAGCGGCTCACCGTACAGGGGGTGGACAAGCAGGTAAAAACTTTAATGCAGACGATGCATATATGCACAAGAGTGCAGTTAGCTCACCGTACGGGGGGGGGTCACTGCGCAGCGGCTCACCGTACGGGGGGGGGTGTCACTGCGCAGCGGCTCACCGTACGGGGGGGGGTCACTGCGCAGCGGCTCACCGTACGGGGGGGGGTCACTGCGCAGCGGCTCACCGTACGGGGGGGGGGGGCTCACTGCGCAGCGGCTCACCGTACGGGGGGGGGGGGGTCACTGCGCAGCGGCTCACCGTACGGGGGGGGGTCACTGCGCAGCGCAGCGGCTCACCGTACGGGGGGGACAGGCAGGTAAAAACTTTAATGCAGAAGATGCATATATGCACAAAAGTGCAGTTAGCTCACTGGGGGTACAGGGGGTAAAAACTGCAGCAGCCGCACAAAAGTGCAGTTAGCTCACTGTACAGGGGTCACTGCGCAGCGGCTCACCGTACAGGGGGGGACAGGCAGGTAAAAACTTTAATGCAGAGGATGCATGCTTTTCCTCTTCTGCATTAAAAATCTTGCCTGTGCACACTTTATTTTGCATAGTTTCTCTTGAAAAAGGTGGACTCAGGCTTTAAACATTTTAGTACCAGGGGAGCCCCACTGCAAGGATCAGGTTTTATTTTTAGCCCAATTCCATGTTTTAGTGAACATTATAGTAGCTCATACAGTTTCCTTCATCAAGACATGCAGCAGGTAACAGCGCTCTATGAACTGAATGTAGCTGGTGCTACATCGACTATACAGCACCATGTTCCAGTAGCAGGATCAGGACTTCCCAGCTCACTCCCAGAACAAAACTGAGTTGTGCAGAGCGCTGCCCAGCCATTCACAGGAAGCCTTGTATTTCCTGAATGAATTCAAGTCTTTACTGAAAAAAAGTCTTTCACTAAACAAAATTGTGACATCTGCCCACCTCATCCAATCAGAGGAAGCCTTGTATTCATTCTGTAAATACAAAGATTCCTATGAATGGCTGAGTCGAACTGTTCTGGGAGTAGGACAAAGTCCTCATCCTGCTGCCAGAACACAGCACTGTATTTAGCACCAGCTACATACTGTTGACACATCACTGACAGCTCCTGCATGTGTTAATGAAGGTAATCGTTTGTTTGAGTCAGCTTAGTCCAAATGAACTACACTGCACAAAAAAAAAAAAAAAAAAAGGAACACTTTGAAAGGAACACTTTGAATCTCTATGCATATGACAGGGTAATATGTTAGAAATGTAAGGATGCCTCATCATTTGATGGAATCGAAAATTATCGACCTACAGAGGACTGAATTCAAAGACACCCTGAAAATCAAAATGAATAAATGATGCAGCAGGTGAGTCCATTTTCCTGACATTTCTTCGCAGCAACTCAGAATGGATTTAGTAGTCTGTATGACCCCCACGTGCTTGTATGCATGCCTGACAACGTCAGGGGAGGCTCCTAATGAGACAACGGATGGTGTCCTGGGGATCGCCTCCCAGATCTGGACCAGGGCATCACTGAGCTCCTGGACAGCTGAGGTGCAACCTGGTGGCATAAGATGGACCGAAAAATGATATTCCAAAGAAGTTCTAATGGATGTAGGGCAGACGTGGGGGCCATTCAATTCCTTCATCCTCCAGGAACTGCCTGCATACTCTTGCCAGATGAGGCTGGGCATTGTTGTGCACCAGGAGGAACCCAGGAGCCCCTGCACCAGCGTAGTCTTACAATGGGTCCAAGGATTTCATCCCGATACCGAATGGCAGTCAGGGTGCCATTGTCTAGCCTGTAGAGGTCTATGCGTCCCTCCATGGATATGCCTCCCCAGACCATCACCAAAACGGTCATGGTAAACGATGTTACAGGCAGCAGAACGTTCTCCACGGCTTCTCTAGACCCTTTCATGTCTGTCACATGTGCTCAGGGTGAACCTGCTTTCATCTGTGAAAAGCACAGGGCGCCAGTGGTGGACCTGCCAATTCTGGTGTTTAATGGCAAATGCCAATATAGCTCTATGGTGCCAGGCAGTGAGCACAGGGCCAACTAGAGGACATCGGGCCCTCAGGTCACCCTCATGAAGTCTGTTTCTGATTGTTTGGTCAGAGACATTCACACCAGTGGCCTGCTGGAGGTCATTTTGTAGGGCTCTAGCAGTGCTCATCCTGTTCCTCCTTGCACACGGCCCTTCTACGGCCCTGTCCAGCTCTCCTAGAGTAACTGCCTGTCTCCTAGAATCTCTCCTCCATGCTCTTGAGACAAAGGTACGTATATTGATGTGCCATCCTGGAGGAGTTGGACTGCCTGTGCAGCCTCTGTAGGGTCCAGGTATCACCTCATGCTACCAGTAATAACACTGACCCTAGCCAAATTCAAAGGTAGTCAAAAAAGATGAGTGGGGAAACAAAATGTCAGTGGCCTCCATCTGTAAAACCATTCCTGCTTTGGGGGTCGTCTCATTGTTGCCCATCTAGTGCACCTGTTAATTTCATTAGCACCAAAGCAGCTGAAACTGATGAACAACCCCCTCTGCGACTTACCTGACCAGATCAATATCCCGAGAGTTTCATTGACTTGATACTATACTGATTAAAAAGTGTTCCTTTCATTTTTTTTAGAGCAGTGTATTTAAAGTTCACTAAAACATGAGAATTAGGCTTCAAATAGTCATTTTCATCTAGGTGGAATAGAAGGCAGTTATAATTCCCTTACTCATCGTTCCCACAGGCTGCATCCCATCTACATGACCGATCTGCAAATCCTTCTCTTTGCTGCTCTGTGGGGCACAGGCAGTCCGAGATCACATGTAATGCAAGACCAAAGCTCCTGAAATCCACCACACGGACCATCAAACAGTAGAGGCCAACTGCCGGGTGTGCAAAGGGTAATGCAAATACCATATATACTCGAGTATAAGCCGACCCGAATATAAGCCAAAGTACCTAATTTTACCACAAAAAACTGGGAAAAACTATTGACTCGAGTATAAGCCCCATCATTAGTATCAGTGGGAGGAATAGCGCCCCGTCGTTGGTGTCAGCGGGAGGAATAGCGCCCCGTCGTTGGTGTCAGCGGGAGGAATAGCGCCCCGTCGTTGGTGTCAGCGGGAGGAATAGCGCCCCGTCGTTGGTGTCAGCGGGAGGAATAGCGCCCCGTCGTTGGTGTCAGCGGGAGGAATAGCGCCCCGTCGTTGGTGTCAGCGGGAGGAATAGCGCCCCGTCGTTGGTGTCAGCGGGAGGAATAGCGCCCCGTCGTTGGTGTCAGCGGGAGGAATAGCGCCCCGTCGTTGGTGTCAGCGGGAGGAATAGCGCCCCGTCGTTGGTGTCAGCGGGAGGAATAGCGCCCCGTCGTTGGTGTCAGCGGGAGGAATAGCGCCCCGTCGTTGGTGTCAGCGGGAGGAATAGCGCCCCGTCGTTGGTGTCAGCGGGAGGAATAGCGCCCCGTCGTTGGTGTCAGCGGGAGGAATAGCGCCCCGTCGTTGGTGTCAGCGGGAGGAATAGCGCCCGTCGTTGGTGTCAGCGGGAGGAATAGCGCCCCGTCGTTGGTGTCAGCGGGAGGAATAGCGCCCCGTCGTTGGTGTCAGCGGGAGGAATAGCGCCCCGTCGTTGGTGTCAGCGGGAGGAATAGCGCCCCGTCGTTGGTGTCAGCGGGAGGAATAGTGCCCCGTCGTTGGTGTCAGCGGAAGGAATAGTGCCCCGTCGTTGGTGTCAGCGGAAGGAATAGTGCCCCGTCGTTGGTGTCAGCGGAAGGAATAGTGCCCCGTCGTTGGTGTCAGTGGGAGGAATAGTGCCCCGTCGTTGGTGTCAGTGGGAGGAATAGTGCCCCGTCGTTGGTGTCAGTGGGAGGAATAATGCCCCATCATTAGTATCAGTGACACCAATGATGCGGCACTATTCCTACCAATGACACTTGCTGACCCCTGTTGCAGTATGGTGCTGCTGCAGCCAGCATATGTGGTTGCAGCAGCACCTCTGCACTGCACACTTACCGGCTTTTCCCTCACTTGATTTTCGTGGGTCTGCTCGGCTCCTCCTCCTCGCCCGTGATTGGCCACCTGTGCACCTTTCCTGAGCTACAGTTCTGGCGGCCAATCACCGGTGAGGAGGCGGAGCCGAGCGGCAGGAGTGAGGGAGTGGCCGGAGTGACGGAAGGAGCAGCGCTTCCTAGATGGATCATCGTGGGAGCCAGGTAAGAGACAGCAGCCCTCTGCCCACCCCTGTACGCGCCCCCCCCTTGACGGAGCCTCGCGCCCCCCCCCTGCAGACGTTGACTCGAGTATAAGCCGAGGGGGCCGTTTTTCAGCACAAAAAAATGTGCTGAAAAACTCGGCTTATACTCGAGTATATACGGTACAACAGCTTTTTCTATTTGCCCAAGCCGAAAAAAAAAAAAGTGTTTAACCATTTTAGGAAAAAAGGAAGAGCCTTGTTACAAGGGCAGTTTTAGCCAAAATTCACCTTTACGTTTTTGGGTCAAAACAGCCATATAAATAGCATTTTTCAGTAAAAGAGTTCAGCAGCAACAGCCTCTTTGTTTCCGTATCTAACAAAGCTTCAGAAACTTGAATACATCTATAATTTTATTGTATGAACAGAACTGAGTCCCCGGAGCACACGCAGCTACCACGTGACAGAATGAGACTTACGAATGGAGTCCATGCACTCCTCCCTCCACCTGTGCAGACATGGTTCTCTTCTCAAACTTGAGCTCCCCAGAATACATCATCGCCCTACAGGAGGCAAGGGGGGAAAAAAGGGTAAGGGGTGAGGATGGCTGTGTGACAGCACAGCATACATTGGGGTACATCAGGTATATAAAAAGGTAATACAAAAGAACATTTCCAACTGCCTTTTTTTTTTTATAAAACTGACAAAAGGTAAAGCTAGACTTCAGGCAAATGACACTTCTAAAATATAGCGGTCAAGTGGTTAGCACTTCCACCTAGGAGAACTACAGTTGTTTAAGTGAATCACAACCATTGCATGTTCTCAGTGTGCCTGCGTGGGTCTCCTCCAGGCACTCCGGTTTCCTACCACTCAATCAGTAGGAGGAATAGTGTCCCAAGGGCCACATAAAGACACGCAAAGGGCCGCATCCAGCCCCAGGCCACAGTTTGAGGACCACTCAACCACACCGTTGGCCAAGATGTCGACTAAGATGGCACAATCCTGTAAATCCTGGTACCTATTCAGTTCTTGGCTATGTTCACTAGTGTTTGACACAGATCAGCCCCTGATGCAGCCTCCCCCCTTGTACCATGCTACAAATTTATATTGTTACGTTCAAATCAATGGGGAAGAGGAGACTTCCTCTTGCCTGCAGCAGACTGAAAACATCATCTCAGCCTAGGCAAAGTCACTGACTGGAGCTCAATATGACTTTGTAAAAAAAAAAAAAAAAAAAAAAAAAAAGTGCATTATTATAAAATATGGCTGCTGAAGAGCTGCAGTTTTGTAAAGTTTATAGAGGCATTGGAAGTTTTAAAAACACTCTACACATTTATGTCGGTTCTTTATTCAGCCAAGTACATTGCGGCTCGTTCACGTACCTGACTTGCGTTAAGCTCTTGGCGCCTATATCCTGGCAGGAGTGCTGGATTCCAGCAATCAAATAAGGAACAAACTTGTGAATGGATCCTTTGTCTTGTATGGCACCGGAAACTCCCTGAGCAACTTTAATCTTGTCAGACTCACTGCAAGAGACAGAAATGTGTAAGCAGAGAGGGCGCCACGGAGGACGCTGCTCTGTACCAATCAGCACAGGAGCTATAATACAGCATTCTACATTTTGCTCAGATTAAAACACAATGGCTGAGGTCAGGATACCGTGTGGTACAGCTCCCATGGAGACACTAGAATTCACAGCATGGCATTGTGGATTACTTAAAGTGCAGGAGAGCCACAGTTTGCCTGTTTTAGGGGTTAAGGCTCATTCAGATGGGCACTGAGACCCAGTGGCATCCCGAGGCAGGTGTGGGGGGTGTGCGCCACATTGGGTGACACCGGACCGGCTCCACGAAAAGGTAAGTTGTAAAGCAAGCAAACGATCCCTGGAGGATGGCTCCGATCCATTATGCTCCCCAATCCGCAGATCCGATCCATCCTGCGGGGATCTTCAGCTTTCTTTACAACTTACCTTTTCGTGGAGCGGGTCCGGTGTCACCCCGCATAGGTTGCATGCCGACGATCCCCGTAGGATGGATGGGATCTGCGGATTGAGGAGCATAATGGAACGGACTCAGATCCATTATGCTAAATCCGCAGATCCCATCCATCCTGCGGGGATCGTCAACATGCAACCTAACGGGGTGACACCGGACCGGCTCCACGAAAAGGTAAGTTGTAAAGCAAGCCGACGATCCCTGGAGGATGGCTCTGATCCATTATGCTCCCCAATCCGCAGATCCCATCCATCCTGCGGGGATCGTCAACATGCAACCTATACGGGGTGACACCGGACCCGCTCCACGAAAAGGTAAGTTGTAAAGCAAGCTGACGATCCCTGGAGGATGGCTCTGATCCATTATGCTCCCCAATCCGCAGATCCAATCCATCCTGCGGGGATCGTCGGTTTTCTTTACAACTTACCTTTTCGTGGAGCCGGTCCGGTGTCACCCCGCATAGGTTGCATGCCGACGATCCCCGTAGGATGGATGGGATCTGCGGATTGGGGAGCATAATGGATCGGACTCAGATCCATTATGCTAAATCCGCAGATCCCATCCATCCTGCGGGGATCGTCAACATGCAACCTATACGGGGTGACACCGGACCCGCTCCACGAAAAGGTAAGTTGTAAAGCAAGCTGACGATCCCTGGAGGATGGCTCTGATCCATTATGCTCCCCAATCCGCAGATCCAATCCATTCTGCGGGGATCGTCGGCTTTCTTTACAACTTACCTTTTCGTGGGGCGGGTCCGGTGTCACCCCGTGTAGGCTGCATGCTGACAATCCCGCAGGATGGATGGGATCTGCGGATTGGGGAGCATAATGGATCGGACTCTGATCTATTATGCTCAATCTGCAGATCCGATCCATTCTGCGGGGATCGCTGGAGGGGGTGTCTCCAAGTGTTATCGCGCCGGGTGACACCAACCCTAGGGATACCCCTGCTGAGATCTGTCCTATGTGCTGAGCCACTGTCTGCATCCATCCTGGAACTGTGCAAAGGCTGCCTGTGAAAGTGGATGCAGACAAAGCACAGGCAGTTGCATATTAAAACCTGACATGCAGGCACTGTACGTTTGGATCTGTGCACCAACTCCTGCCCACATGTCAAATTTTCACGAGACCGTGTCCATGCAGCCGCTGCATCCACTTCTATGGGCTGCCTACACACAGCTCCGAGGTGGATGTGGACGCAGCAAAAAGCCGCTCAGCACATAGGATGGGTCTCAGCGCCTGTCGGAATGCGCCCTTAAACGTAACACCTCACCTGAAATATCGCTTTTGGCTGCTGACGTTCTTGTCCATTGCATCCAGAGAGCCCATGCCACGGTACTTCTTTAACCGAATGCCATCCGAGAAGAAGTATTCACCCGGTGATTCTGTGGTCGCTGCCAGCAACGAACCCATCATAACTAGAGCACAATTTAAAAAAAAAAAAAAAAAAAAAAAAGTAAAATAGGATGAGTTCACTTTTGGGAACATTTTACATGTTCCACCTGTTTTTAAAGTGGAACATGTAACAAGTTCCCAATGCAGGCCAGGCCCGCCTGGGTCATCACCTACTTAACCCCTTGACGTCGACATCACACAAATATGCGGCCTCACAGAACTGGGCGCTTTTTCTGTGGGGCCGCGTATTTGCGTACCTATCTTTGTGCTGGGAGCGCGCCGCACTGCGTGCTCCCAGCACAAAGACCGGGGTGTCACTGAGAGCCCAGGATCCCGTTCTATTGATCGGGACCCTCGATTCTGGGTCACATGATTGCTGAGATAGCCTTTGATTGGCTATTACAGTGATCAGTCACTGTACAGCCTGGCCCCTTTTTTCCCCTCTATGAATGGAGGAGAGAGATACATTGCAACTCTCTAACTCCTGGCATAGAGGGGGGAAACATTTTTGTTAAAAAAAAAAAAAAAAATTAACAAATAAAAGAAAAAATACCAAGATCAAGGTTCGATCTAGTTCAGTGCCAGGGTAAGTGTTTGGGTCAGGGTCAAAGGCCAAGGTCAGGATTTTTTTTTTTTAAATTGGTATTAGTGTCAATGTATTTTCGGTAAACAAATTGCGCACTATTGTTTCTGGGCTGTACTACGGGTACAAACAGCAAATAACATACACATCTATAGTATCGCTGCGATCGTAAGAGCTGGAAAATTTATTTTGGATTGTTCTTCGATGTAGGTTATGGTAGTAACAACAAGAAACACACAGCTTTACAAATTTTTGTTTTTACTATTTTGGGCAAACATTCACTATATAAACTGTCAACGTTGAAAAATGTTTGAAGATTTTGCTTTAAGGAAAAATAGGTGAAAAAAATATCTTTGAATGTACTGGTGAATAACTTTGCAAAAGTGTAAGTCGAAATGTTTAATGATAACAGTTGTGTTCAAAATAATAGCAGTGTGTTGAAAAAAAAATGAATAAAGCCCCCAAAATCCTTCTAATTGCTTTTATTTCCATCCACACAAATGCATTGGGAACACGACACATTCTATTCCAAATCAAAACATGAAGAAAAATATATCACATTTGTGTTGTTCCTCTAAAAAAATTGAAGAAAAGTGAATATTAGACGGTTCAAAAAAAAATCGCAGTGTTTGTATTCTCTTTACAAACTCAAACATTCACTATATAAACTGAGAAATGTTTGAAGATTTTGCTTTCCTTTGAATGACTTCATGAATATTTGGTTGTAGTCGCACTGTTTCTGAGAACTGCTGTACATCTGTGTTGCATGGAGTCCCCCAACTTCTGGCCCCTGTGATCCAGCCCAGGATGATTGGACCACATTCCACAGTTCTTCTCTATTTCTTGGTTTTGCCTCAGAAACGGCATTTTTGATGTCACCCCACAAGTTTTCTATTGGATTAAGATCCGGGGATTGGGCTGACCACTCCATAACGTCCATCTTGTTGGTCTGGAACCAAGATGTTGCACGTTTACTGGTGTGTTTGGGGTCGTTGTTTTGTTGGAACACCCATTTCAAGGGCATTTCCTCTTCAGCATAAGGCAGCATGACCTCTTCAAGTATTCTGATGTATTCAAACTGATCCATGATCCCTGGTATGCGATAAATAGGCCCAACACCGGTATGCGAAAACATCCCCATATCATGATGCTTGCACCCCATGCTTCACTGTCTTCACAGTGTACTGTGGCTTGAATTCAGTGTTTGGGGGTCATCTGACAAATTGTCTCCGCCCACTAGACCCAAAAAGAACAATCTTACTTTCATCAGCCACAAAATGTTGCGCCATTTCTCTTTAGGCCAGTCAATGTGCTCTTTGGCAGATTGTAACCTCTTCAGCATACGTCTTTTTCCCAACAGTGGGACTTTGCGGGGACTTCTTGCAGATAGCTTGGCTTCACATAGGCGTCTTCTAATTGTAACAGTCCTCACAGGGAATGTCACACCTTCTTTCATCTTCCTGGAGCTGATTGTTGGCTGAGTCCGCGCCATTTTGGCTATTCTTCTATCCATTTGAATGGTAGTTTTTCGCTTTCTTCCACGTCTTTCAGGTTTTGGTTGCCATTTTAAAGCATTTGCCATCATTTTAGCTGAGCAGCCGATCATTTTCTGCATTTCTTTATATGTTTTCCTCTCTGCAATCAACTTTTTAATCAAGGTACGCTGTTCTTCTGAACAATGTCTGGAACGACCCATTTTCCTCAGAATTTCAGAGAGAAATGCACTGTAACCAGCATGTACAACATTTGCTGCCTTCCTTCCTTAAATAAGAGCAATAATTGCCACCTGTTTTTCAAAGAATGAATGACCTCACTAATAGAACTCCACACTGCTATTATTTTGAACATGCCCCTTTCAATGAGTGATCCAATGACACAGAATCAGCAGCATGCATGTCATGACTGTTGGGTCTGTTGGATTTCTATTACTCTACTACACCTGCTAGGAAATTATTTGCCATGTAGAAATATCATTTCTACAAAAAACAGTGATTGATCCAGTTAGTAATGTCTGACTGCTATTATTTTGAACACAACTTATTATTATTGTGTATTATTATATCTTATGACCTGTATTACAGACATTTATTCCCATATTGATTTCCTGAAGGAAGTGGGCGTTGGCCAGAGAAATGCGTTGAAGTTTAATTTCCTGATACGTATCTACTATGGAAATATGTACTATACAGTGATCTGAATATATCACTGTATTGGGTGATCAGAGGATTTAAAAAATACATTCTTACAAGATGTTTGTATAATGAACAGAATACAATATTTTATCTTTACGTTTTAAATTGGGAAGAAAAATTGTGTTTTGTTTTTTTTTTCTTTTTAAATATACTAATGGATGATTTGGTACCTAAAGTCCTGTAGCTTTTTCTGCAGGATATGCAGTTGGTAATTGACAGATTAAGATATGGTACCCCAATAAGACTTATGGGGTTAGCAGTGCCCTCTTTTTTTATATTGTATTTTGGATTCACATAGAACAGATAATGTATTTATTTATAGGAAAAACTGAGGTTTTTATTTCCATGAGTAGAAAGTGCCATTTCCGCACTCTCTTTTGTGCCTGGGCAAAGATCACATGGTATGTATGTGCCAGGGGCACATTGGATGTATTACATCCTTCGAAGATTGCAAAGGGTTTGGCAGGCTTGCAGCACAATAACTGGACAACAAAGCAGAACCATTGTGCAGCACTATTAACCCCCCCCCGGGTATTGCCGAGTGTAGCTCGGGGTAAAGTTTCAGCCCCACAAAGCGGTGACCCCCCCAGCTACACTCGGGAATACACTGCAGCGTTGCTCCGGGATCCATTCTGCACTTACCTTGTCCTGCGCTCCCGCGATGTCCCTCCTGCATTGTCCCCGGCAATCTCCTCCGGCAGATGCCGGCATCTGTCTTCCGTTCCCTGCGAGCGTCGGGACGTACGGGGGACGAAACAGCGGGAAATTTAAAAATGTGAAAGAGTGACATTCACTAAATACACTAAAATCACATAGTATAACATTCCTGTATCAAACCATTTCACATACATTTTGTCCCGAGTGCTTTGTCCGGCGCCCTGCCTGCATTTTTACTGTTCTTTCTGCCTGGAAACTGAGAAACGTCCATGGCGTCCAAAAAGCGTCCCTTTAGGTCAAAAGCGGTTTTAGACCGGCTAGAGAACAGCGATAGTAAATCAGAACCACTTGCAGAATTGAGTGATAATGATTCGTGGGGGAAATTCATCATCAGACACTGAAAACGATTCTGCGACTTTTCTCAGTGATGTGCGATCTTGGCGCTCTATTTCAAATTTCAGTGTTTTTGATTTGATTGAATTAAATTTATTATTGAAATATTTTTACGATTATTTAATAAATTATAATTTATGATTTCGAGTTTCAAGTTTTATCCTACCCGGGATGTTTACTAGACTCTTGTTCGGACAGATTTCAGTGAGTTATTCCTAAAAATTACAGGCCTACAATAAAAAAAAACTACATATTTCCATGCAAAAAAATGTACCGCTTTGAGCACAGAAATATGGACATAATCAGACCGCTAGGGAGGCTACCTTCGAAGCAAGGCCTGCATATGTAATGAGCAAATATAACTGCTGCCTATACATGTATAGAATTTAAATTTAAATGAAACAATAATGAAATTATGAAATTCCAACATTCTATGGTGTCTTTTGGGTATGGGGAAATATAAACTGGCTCTTCCTGTATTAAGAAGTAGTACCTAAAGGAAGGGCAGTCCTTGCTAACCTAACTTTAGAAAAATTGCCTGGCTCTCCTACTGATTCCTGGTTTCCCAAACCAGAACCTCGGATTTGCATATCTGTCAGCAACTACAATGAGATCCAATGCAGGGAGATCAGTAAATCAGTTATTCTAAGGCAACCCATCTTCCCCCCATCCCCATACTACTCACCTGTAGAGGCACCAAGGGCCAGAGCCTTTGCTATGTGTCCAACATTTTGGATTCCACCATCAGCAACGACCGGGACGCCGAATCTTCTGGCATATTCTGAAACCTTGTACACAGCTGTGGCCTGGGGCCTGCCGCACGCCAGCACTGCAACATTGACACAGACAGAACAATGTCTCCGCTCTTTAAGAATGTACATGTTACATCAACAGACTACAAACCAGCACCGAGCAACACTGCACAGACTTGAGTTGGTGGGCTTCTTTGTCTATCAGTGGTGGGTTTAGAATGGCTCTGCTCAGTACAGGCTGAATGGACCCTTCCTGACACAACGTAAGCAGACCGGGCGCAGTCTTCTTCGCCTGGTACCATATACAGGGCAGCACAGTGGCTAAATGGTTAGCACTTCCGCCTGGCAGTACTCGGGTCGTTGGTTCGAATCCCAGCCACGGCACTACCTGCCTGGAGTTTGCATGTTCTCCCTGTGCCTGTGTGGGTTTCCTCCCACACTCCAAAGACATGCTGGTAGGTGAGTTGGCTCCTGTCTAAATTGTCCCTAGTATGTGTATGTATGAATGTGAGTTAGGGACCTTAGATTGTACGCCCCTTGAGGGTTAGGGACCTTAGATTGTACGCCCCTTGAGGGTTAGGGACCTTAGATTGTACACCCCTTGAGGGTTAGGGACTGATGTGAATGTACAATATATATGTAAAGTGCTGCATAAATTGATGGCGCTATATAAGTACCTGAAATAAATAAATATAGACAGCAGGTGCACTTCCTCTAGTCTAGACTCATTTGGAAACCAGCAAGGACAACATTATGGGAGTGGTCATACCAAGAAAAAGTACAACCGAAGCTGTAACAATATTCATAAAATAATAAATGTCCAAAAAAGAAAAAAAAAAAACACATATCAAAATATGCATACAAAAATACAAAACCTATGCCAACCGACATGACACCAAATTGATAGGATCAATTCCTCTCTTTAGCCCAGCTCGTCCTCGATTACTTTCCATCACCAAACCCGGGAGAAATAAAGCTCCAGACACCGAACTGTAAAAGCTAAATCTCTGAAAGTTTAATGTGTGCAAGCTGTAATATAGAAGACCAGTGTGAGTCACTTTGTGTGGGGGGCTTATGGAACACAGCTCACTTTGGAGAGGTGGGGAGACCCCCGTCTCAGCTCCCCATATCCCTATTATGTGTAAGTCACCCTGTGCCTGTTAGGGGTACAGGGTTATCTGTCCTAATATTGGGGTGGAGGGGGGTTGTTGATTTTTTTAATGCCATGTGGTTGCATCCCATTGTTCTGTTGTGTGTCTTGCTTGGGAGCAAACTATTATGGGATGTATGTGTTTATGCGTATTAGCTTAGTGGGGGGGTGTCTCCAGCAGCCCTCCCTACTGCTGGGACTGTCTGCTGGTGTGAAGTTTGAATACCTGTGTCTCTAGTTGCTAAGTGTAGATTGCCCCGCCCTGTGTCATTATGCAGGGAGGGGGGATCTGTCCCCCGAGTGTATAAAAAGCCAGTTCAAGTTTCAAATAAAGAGTTCCATGTTCAGACAGACTGGTGTCGTCTAGTCTTGTATGGTCAGCTGTGGTGTCTGTGGTCGGTACTCGGACGGGGAAGCGGTATAATAACGGAAGTACCCAAGCGCAGTCTGGGGTTGGTTCCGTTACAACCAGAATGACCAATGAAATATTATACTCTCATCAATGAAGATAGTAAACGGAATCACCTTATATGGTACTTCTCAACCATTTGTAGTTTCTGAGAATAGAAACTAGATTCAGAAAATGAGAAAGAAGTTACAAGCAAAACTCAAAACCGAAATGGTTTACACATCTAAAAATGGAGGCATTATACAAAATGGATACAGTATCAATTAAAAAAAGACCTATTTCCTTACAGTTGGCATAGGTTCTCCTCCCCTGGTTGGCATAGAACTGAATTCTTGTATGTATGTTGTTTTGATACATGTATTCTTTTTTAGGATATTTGTTACTTATTGTAGGAATATTGTTACAGCTTCAAATCGTACTTCTACCCTTGGTCGAAGGTCCTGAAGAAACAGAAGATTCTGCAAAAAAAAGGTTGCCCCATGCACACAGCTCTTTTTTCCATCCTTTTGGAGCATTTGATGTAGTTGATTGTGATTATGACCTCTGGGATTGTAAGCCGTGGGAACGATGGCTGCCTTTTTAAAAACTATTTAAACTTTGTAAATAAAGATGTAATAAAAGAGAACTTTTATTGCCTGAGGCATATTTAAATTAGAACTATAGGCAAACCTTTTTTTTTTGGATAGAGTAAGGAAGGGTTATATCCCGTCAGATTTTTTTTTAACCATCTGCATCCTATGGGGAGAATTCCCAAGCCACCAGAACTAGTGTCCCCATTGGAAAAATTTCCCCTCTATTACTTTTCTGGGGACAACCCAAAATTTGGGGTCTCTTTCACTTTCAAAGAGAACAATAGACAGGACAAAATAGAGAGGGACACTCTCCCTAACAGGGGAACAGACCGCAATAAAAACTGACAGGGATTCTAATCTCTCTCCATTCTATCCAAAAAAAAAAAGTTTTGCCTATAGTTGTACTTTTAAGTCCCAGTTGTACATTGTTCTTGTTCTACAGGATGGGAACTGCCATAGGCACATGCTCCATTGCTGCCCTCCTAATCCTGGCTTCATAAACCTTTTATTGAATGGCCTGGAAAAAAAAGTCAGCAATAGCAAGTCAAATAGTTCTATCCACACACACAGGTCCCCTTTGAAGGCAAATTTCAAGTGTGGATATTTTTACATAGTTACAGCTTGGACCCATGTATATACCATACCTGTGGGGTCAGTAATCTCCACTAGTTTCTGGGTCCCGAGCTGATGCCCTGCTGCATTGTGAACAGAGGAGGTCAGCCACTAGGCATGGGCGCCAATCAGAGAAGACTTTGCTTTTTCTCAAAGGACGCAAAGCATTTTCCAATTGGACAAGGCGGAGAGCAAGAAGTCACTTCGATAGGATGTATTCATGTTTCCTAACCTAATCAAGAGTCTTGTGACTACTCTTGCCACTGCCCTGCAGCACTCCTTTTAGTGAATTTGCCTGGAGTTCAGCTTTAAAGATTTGGATAAAGGGCCAGAGATGCCCCGGGGAACATTTCTGTTGCCCCCTAGCCTATAAAACCATTTAGATCAAACTGACTTTTATTTGGCCCATCAGCCTCTGATTTGTCAAAACACAAATAAACATCACATGTGGTTGGAGGAAAAAACAAAAAAAAAAATTTTTTCGTTCATTGGATACAGTATTATATAGGTCATTCAGTATTCAAGACTGTGTCAGGTTTAAAGTGAACCTATTAAACACAGAGCAGAAGCATTGCATCATAGCCCATCAATGGACTAGCCTTCCCCCACCCCACCACTCTTCTGGCCATGCTCCTGGCAAAACAGTAACAGTATTGACCTAAACATACAAAATGGATTCCCCCACTGTATGCCTGACAGGTACACTTTAACCCATGTAAAGTTAGCACGGCGACATGAACTCATGCAGGGTTAGTAAATTGAGTGCAACAGGATCCGCAAACAGGGGCAAGATGGAAAAAATGCTGACAGGCCAAACTTTTGGGGGGGGGGGGTTCCATGCTCCTCAGGCCAGTTAGGGTAAATCTGCAATGAAAGATATGGAATCTGCCATTACTAATGCTACTGATAATGCTTGTTGCCCGAGTATCACTGGTTTTAGACATTTGAGTCCCTGACCTGGAACAAGCACTCAATCCGTGAAATTAGAATTCCTTATCAGCCTACTTGCTTTAGCCCAAAAGTTTGAAGCCAATGATATCAGCATGACCTTTAGGGTCAGTGTTGGCAGCCTCCATTTCTATCCCTACAGGTTCACTTTAGGAATGACAGGGAAGTCGTCAATAGTGGGAAATGTGATGTTACTAGGAGGTGGCACCAGTGATAGTAGGTGGCAAAATAATATGGACTTACCTCTACAAACCTTTTCTTGGAATACATTACAGGACACAGGATCTTAGTCTTACATGAGTGGGTCATGCAGCTTTCTTCAGAAGATTAGACACTGAAACAATGCTGTAAGAAAAACCCCAGCATAACCTCTCCCCTCAGCAAACCTCACTTTAGTAGTATGTAATAAGTAGTGAATTGGAACAGAGGTGAAGGACCTGTGTCCTGTGATGTACTCAACACAGCTGAAAATGTTGAGTTGCAACAGTATGAAATGAAATGCTGAATATGGTACTTCCTTGAAAAAGGCTGCTATCAGGCCCAAGATCTTCATGCAAAAGTGAATAGTTGGGCAACCCCTGGACACTTGGGAGCAGAGGGCCAGGAGCTTGTCTGGAGGGAAGCCAACCTTGGACTGGGATACGTCCAGAAACAGGCCCAGATACTCCCAAAGTGGTGGGTCAAGTTCCAGGGAAGACTTCACGAGATTCAGGATCTATTCAAACCTCAAGTCTACACCATTCAAAGGACACTGGCTAGCCTGACTATTCCTTCAGGAGATAACACTTCGGTGAAGACCCAAGATGCTGTGGACAGGCCAAATGGAAAGAAACAACTGGACATGTGTGTCCAGAGCAACATGCAAGTAGCATTGATGAGGAGGAAATATGGGGAAGTGCAAGTAGGCCAGCGAGTCCTCCAGTTAAAGAGAAGCAAAGACTGACCTGGTGGATTTTGTTTCTTTTTTAACACAAAGGAATTTGTTGAGAATTTTCAGTATCCAGAATGGGGTGAATGTCTCCCTTTGCCTTAGGACAGTGAACAGATTGGAGTGAAAACCCTGAACCCTCCCTGTCTCCAGAACTGGGGCAAGACAAGCTGCTGAAGAGAAACATGAACATCTTCCCAGTTCTGTTAGGAGGATGGCAAGTTTGACAGCATGAAGCAGGGTGGAGGTAAACCTAAATTCTCTTGTAGCTTCAAGGAATCACTTTCTGAACCCAGGCATCCAAAAATGTCCTGTGCCCAGATGGCCAATAAGCACCCCTGCACACTGACAAGCAGCTGCCCCTCATTGTGAGTAAGGCTGCTTCTGGACTCGTCTAGGTCTGAGGGCAGAAGTATGAGCCAGGCTTGGACCTGAATGCAAACCGGAACAATAGTAAC